CCTTTGCCTTCTGAGGCGCATACTGATTTAGTCATACAGAGGTTCTTTGACTGTTGGGTTAGTGAGAATGGAATCCCGCTGTCTATAGTTAGCGATAGAGTAGTGGCAGCTAGCGCTGCCATAGCTGTAGTACAGTGTGTGTGTGTTGCGTATGAGCACTGAGTGTTGCGTGTGGGACATCCAGGGTGATCCAGAGTGCGAACAGTGAGTTGTTTGGGCGCAGAGCCGCCATAGCCAGTTGAAGAGAACTCTTATCCAGTTACGATATCTTTGAGTACTGTGCGGGCGCATGTCGCCAGTTTGCTGTATCGCTGTTTGCATGAAGACAAGTGTGAATAATCCGAGTCTGATTGCACCTGCATTCTGCTGAGTTCTCTAAGCCTGTGTGCGTGTGCGTGCTTGATGGTCTGCGTGCCTGTCTGAGTACTGGCCGGTCTGAGAGTGTGTGTGACCCAAGGGTACTTGCTTGTTTGGAGGCCCATAGGGCCAGTACTTACCTGTGGCCGTGACATCGAGGGTTGCAGTGGAGGAAAAACACTCAGTAGCATGTAGGCCGGTACCACACCAAGTAGAACTAGATGTGCCGGGTACTCCAGGCCAAGCAGAAGAAGACAAAAGTTGGCATTTTTAGAGGCCCAGTAGTTCTAGGCTAGGTCTAGGCGGGTACCAGTCCAACCAGTCTGAGTCTAGGGCCTGTACAGGAAAGATCAGAGTCTGCAATGAATCAATGATGTTTCCCTCCGAAAGGGAGGAGGTACCGGTTGCTTGAAAACCGCACGGCCTAGGAAGTCACCACTCGGCCTAGGAAGTCCAACCAGTCTGAGTCTAGGGCCTTCATGAAGAGGAAGGAGGAGAGTGGCCATGGCTATGGTAGACCTCATGTTGTGCCTGCAATAGAAGAGGGATTTGGACATTGAATCTGGCTCAGCCATTCAACATTATTATTGTTATTTATTGTTTGAATATAAGGGGAGGAGAAAAGGAGGAGGAGAGTGGTTTGTGGAATTCTCATTGGTCTTTGCTGGTGTACACCTTCTTCTTTCTTTCCTCTTCTTCTTCTTTCCCTCTCTCTCCTCTCGAAATTGGACGGCACTGTACTTTCTGATGAATGTGTACTTCGAAATTGGCCAGGATCGCAGCAAAGGGACAACCCAAATGAGAGTACAGAGAGTAGGAATCACCTGTAAAGGACTCCACTCAGGAAGCATTGCAAGTCCTGGAAGCAGTGGCTGAAAGATGGAAAAAATGGTTGCCCTTAAGAAAACAAATGCACCTTGGGTTACTGCTGCCAAATTAGCTGCCCCATCCCACCCAACAGAGCAAACATCATGACACCAACACACCCGGAGCAAAACCACCAGTCACACAAACACAACCATAGCAATTTCGTTAGAAACACATGAAAACTGGCATTTCTGCAATCACACCACAAGCAACGGAGGCACACACCTGCATCCCTATCATTCCCTAAAACAAACTGCAGAAATAGACCTGACAGATATCCGAACTCTGTGTGTGTGTGTGTGTGGAATCATGCCAATAAGATTACAGAATCACAAAAAAGTTAAAAGTGAGAAAGATGGAAGGAAAAAATTGTTGTGTAACTGCTGGTACACCACCTACTCGTTCATTGACTAAAATCATTCCAATGGCTACAAATGTTGCCACGTTTTGTATCTTGTCCAATACAAATAAAAGAGACAGATAACTAAAATCACGCACTTTGGTCTTGAAAACAAAATATAGGCAACGGAAGGTTGTGTTGTTTACAAAGTATGGATCAATTACATGGACCTACTTTTCAATCCATTTGTGGAAACATAGCATGTGTTTCTCTTACTTTCTAATCCTGACACCTACGCTCGGACTAGAGCTAAACAAAGAAAAATTACGACATCACATAGTTCCGGATTCCTCTTCCTAGGAGTTACGAAAGAACCCAAAGATTGGTGTTGCATGCACCCATCTGGAAACCGTTGTGCAGATGCCATTTCCGGCTCCTCTGGGGTTCCACTTTTTATCCATGCAGAACACACGAGATAAAAATCACTTCCCCAACCCATGCGCCGCACCTCGGCTCTTTCCAAGGACTTGCACAAGCAGAACACCAGTCTCCCTCCATTCACCCACATACAACTGCTATGCCATGCCTACTTTCTCCTACGCTCGGACAAGAGCTAAACAAAGAAAAATTAAGACATCACATATTGATTCCGGATTCCTCTTCCTCGGTACCCACATATCGCGCGGTAACAGCAGAAGGTACGAAAGAAGCCAAAGATTGGTGTTGCATGCACCCATCGGGAAACCGTTGTGCAGACGCCAAACGGTGCACGAGGAACACTCTCCTCCTGTACGATCCATGTCCACTCTGGGACACGCCTGGGCATGCATGTAACACCACACAGAACCTGGAACCATATCCGGACCAGGTCCAATGACTATGTCAGGATAAATCCTAATGTGATCAAAAGGTGGGTTCAGCCGGCGTGGTAGGCCGAATTCCAGACCAGCCAATTGGTAGGCAGCCAGCAAATCACAAGGGCAATTGCTCCTCCTACCTTTTTCCCCCCCATACAACATACGGTCATTATAGCTGTTTTTGAGGCATCTTTCAGTCTAGATACAGCTATACCGACCGCACGTTGTATTCGGAGGAAGAAGGTAGTCTACACTTCCTCTCGACATTCGATGCGCCTGATGTCTTCTCCACAGCCTACAAACAAACTGAAAAACAAAAACGATACAAGGCTTGTGTATCTTTCCAAAACAGTGCCAAAGAATGGCTGCCAAGGAACAGATTAGGCATTCGGTATGCCTAATCTGTTCCTTCCTAAGTTAATCCAGGCCCTATCAGAGGCCTCTGTAGCCCAGGCAATCCACGAAGGACACAAGGTTCTGATACACGGACCATAACACAGCGGAGATTCCCTTGTGCTTTGCAGGCGCTAGCAAGAGATCACCTTTCAAAGTAATGATGTGCCGCAGCCTTGGTGTCATGATTAGAGGCACATGCTATTTTCGACAAATGGATTGAAAAGTGGGCCCATGTAACTGATCAATACTTCATAAACAACACAACCTTCCGTTGCCTATATTTTGTTCAAAACCAAAGTGCATGATCTGAGTAATTTGTATCTTTTTTTAGATGAATATCACTGCTGTTTTTTAGCTTCTCGGCTCTTCAAAGTTTAAATAGAATATGGAGTGTCCTGCACGGTGTTGATGACGATAGCAGCGCAACGACATAAAACAATTGCAGTCAATCACCGACAACAAAACTCCTACAACACCTAACGACAACTTAATCTGCACCGAAGAGACGGTGGGGGGGGGGAAGAGAGGCTGGGGGGGGCTCTACCATCGTGCGTGAGGCTGCAGAAGACGTTTCCAGTTTCTGCATACGTTTATGGGTACCTAACCCGCCTCCACAAGTCTACGGGTACATGAAACCCGACTCCCGAAGCACGAGTGACTTCATACCCCTCCATCTACATTCTTGTTGGTGGGAAAAATGTGACAGCAGGAATCATGTGCCCTGACTGGTGAAACAAATGATGGCAAAGGCAACCAGAAAATGACCAAGCAAGGACGGAGGAGGAATCATGACCACTCACCCAACAAGCCACTGCAATGTTCCAGCACATTCCAATGGACAGTAGTTGCGCATTCCCGGTTCCTTTGCTTCAGGCTCTCGTCCACAATAACTGCTTGCCTCTACACAAGAGTAACATTTGCACCGGTGCAACATGTAAAGCTGTGCACACAAATCTGGCTGAAGTCAAACTGACTCAAACAGAGCAGGCTGAAGTCAAACGAACTCAAATAAAGCAATGTGACAAACGTTGAAAACTGCATCATTCTCTTCGTCGTCACGATTACCACCCCACCATCATTCTCTTCTTTCACTCCTTTCTTCTTCCCTCCTTTATTTTGGGAAAAGTTACGAAACCTCCCCGCGACAAAACCTTTGTGTCGATTTCCCCCCAAACGCGGGAAAAAGTGCCGCAGGCCCCAAAATCACTTTCGGTGTCATTTTTGCACCCTGCAAAACACTTTCCCGCCAGTTTTGTACGCGGGAAAAAGTGCCGCAGGCYCCAAAATCACTTTCGGTGTCATTTTTGCACCCTGCAAAATACTTTCCCGCCAGTTTGGTACGGCGGCCATTACCGGCACCAAAAGTGATGATTTAGGGACCTGCGGCACTTTTTTTCCCGTTTTGGGGGGAAATGAATACAAAGGTTTCGTCGCAGGAGTGCTTTATAACTTTTCCCTTTTATTTTGCCACCTTTTCCCCCTGCTTGGTCTCTTGGCCTTTTGCTCTCTTATGGTTTTCCCTAAAGATTACATTTTTTACCCTTCACATGCATAATCCTTTCCGAGAGTGCCGCTTGATCATTCCTTTCCTATCATTCTCTTCTGTGCAGACTAGCACTGCTGACGGTCGACGACTACCAGCCGAAGGTATACAGCCGCCGGTGCCTACCTGTAGGAGGATCGTTGGCCTGCCGCACTATCTCTGATGCGGCAGCACTTTGAAAGGCCCAAACGTTGGGGGTCCTGGTCAGGCCTGCTGGTGTACAGGGAACTTTGAAAGTCACCTGTCAGCGAACATGTCCACCCTTTGCAGGGAGAAAAGGAAGCCCCAACAAACCCCACCCCTAACTGCCCCCTACCACCCCAAACCCAAACCCAACAGATCCCCAACCTGACCCCACAGAAGCATAAGTTGTATATGGAGTTACCTCTCTGAAGGCATGCCAGCTCTTCCCAGACATGTTCACAGACAGGTTAGAAAGTAACTTCAAGCCTCAACAAGCACACCCCATCCCCCCAACAAACACCCCCAATCCCCCAACAAACACCCCCCAACCCCCAAGCACCCAAAACCCCGACCCCAACAACAAAGTCGGAGTTTTAAAGCGGATTCGGGCTGTTCTTGGCAAGCACGGAACAGAGCCCTGGTTCACTTAAAAAAAAAAAAAAAAAAAAAAAATTCAGAGCACCTCTGCCAACTGGTCGACAGACTGCCTACAAGTCAGCCAGACCGGTCAGCTGCAGAACAATTGGCTATCAGCATCGGTTGTCAACGGCTGTGCAACCCCTGCTTCTATTGCTATTTTTCAAACCACCACTGGTCCACCAGTCCATTTCCCAGCTATTTTGGTCAGACGCGGTGACCAAGCCGCCATATAGCTGGGGGGGGATTAGCCTACAGTCCATTTAAAGGTTGTTGGCGCCAGAGGCAAAAACAAATTGCAATTGCAAAGATTACACAAGATTTGCTCTCTGGCTGCCACACATCGACCAAACAGAACCCACAGCAAACCTTGAACACGTGCTACGGATTCGGTAGAAGGTTACTTTTCTTTTTTCTCTTCTTCAAACATTTCTTACAAGAGACTATCTAGACATTTGGCAGGCCAGACACAAGAGTAGCAGTACACATCGGGCTAGTGCTCGATCCCTCGACCTCATGCTGCTCCAAACATGTGTACCCGTCACACCAATGTGAGAGACATCCTGTACTGTACTCTGGTTCAGAGCACTGTGTGAAATTGAATATTGGATTGCTGGTCGTAGCGCTCGAGCAGCATCCTTTCGTCATGCTGTCCAGATTTGCAGTCGGAGGAGCGTTCATGTGCGTTCCCAGTCTGCACCACCCCCATCTACCCCCCGCTGAACTCTGTGCTTGCGACACCTTAGCACAGCAGAGGATTATTCCCTCTTCAACGTTTGCAGCTGCAGAAATGTGCTGCAGACAAGGGGGGGCTGGCGGGTAACAGACTCTGGAAGCAAAAAAAAAAAAAAAAGGCAGCACAGCAGCGACTTGTTCCCCACAACAAGAACGAATCACATGCGGGGTAGGCAGACTCTTGCGGAAAAGGGCAGACAGGAGTATAGCAATATTTGCCAAAAAACAAAAAAATGAAAGCAACGTGGATGACCTATGACGAATCACATGCCCTACAAGCCGACTCTCATGGGAAAGCACTGACCTTCACGTATAGAGATTTGCGAAAAAGAAGAGGAAAAAGAAAACTGCCGTTTTCCACAGACTGCTGATAGAGGACGACGAATCACCAGCCTGGACAGGCGACCAATACAGGGTACTACACTACATCTGAGGGCATACTCACACTACAACCTTTTCGATTTCTCTCTGGACGGCATTGCGCTATAGATCATCAAGCAAGGGTCGGAAAAGTGGACATATACACTCAGGAAAGTGGTCAGGGCAGTATGCCCTTCCAGTACCCATGGCCCTTTTTTTGTTTTGACTCTCACAGACGGCTGTTATGTTTTCCAACGGCCCAACCTCGAAGAGATCAGCGCATTTTTTTCTCGCAGGTCTGGAGGTCAGCCGCCGATAGGTTCGGGACTCTCCCTGCCAAGGCACTGGCGGTTTACGGCTGGCGAAAGAGCACAAAGACGTGCATATACGAGTCACAGCAGAAGCCATTAGAATTCAGAACCATTACAGATTTTTCATATATACTCGGGACGACAACCATGTGGCCATGATGTCGCCAACACGTGGACAACCATTCCACAACTGCTATCTTATTCTCACTAGTCAATCTCGGACATTCAACCATAAGAGTTTGTACTTGCATGGCAAGCACCTGGCCAGGATTTTGTGCCACACACGGACAGGAAGTATCTGAAGAACAAGTTCTCATACATTCCACAACTGCTCTCTCTCTTACTCTCATAAGTCAATCGCAGACATTTACAGTCAGCACATGCTCAGGCTTGTCCAGCAAAATCGGATCTACAATCTGCATCCTTTTCCCTTTCCCAGGTTTGACTTGTGCTAAAGAGAGGGTGCAGCCAGGCGTCATGCCTTCTAGGGTCTAACTCATACTACCTACCTAGAATGGCCGGATAACATGCATGTTTGACAAACTTGTGACTTTGACGAACTTTAAAAGATAAACCCCATGGAGAAGGCAGACAGAGCATGCTTTCAACCATATAGGTCCTCTCAATGCTTGGCCCCAACTGCTTACGAGAGTTCAGCAGCAGCGGGCCTTTTATCATGGCCTTACCCAAGGATGGAACACATGCTGCCTACAGGCTGCTTTGTGCTTCTCTTCTTCTGCAACACATATGTACACCATGTTTGCATCTTTTTTTTTCTTTTTTTCTTTTTTCAAAAATTCGTCCCATTTCTCGATTTATGCGTGTCATCCTTGCGCAGGGGCCATGCTAATCTTCTCTGTATCTTTCCAATATTAACAGATGTCCCGAAGGACACGCCACGTTTGCATCTTACACTCAAGGAAGGTTACTTTTTCTTGTCTGTTTTCGTTCTTTTCCCCAAAGGGCGACGGCCTTGAGATATCATACGTACGCCACATTTGCATCTGTACGGTCGAGGAAGGTTACTTTTTTTCTTGTTTATTTTTTTTTTCCAAAAGGCGACGGCCTTGAGATATCATTGTCCAACTGACCGAACTTAGGTTATTCAAAATTAGTTCATATATATTCATCTGGTTTCATCTGGATTCGAACTCCGGTCTGCATTTCAACAGGGCATCGGTGTACCAACTGAGCTAGACCAGTTGGTAAGGAAGCTTACTTTAACATTTTTCTATGACATGATTCTCACACAAGTGCTCCCAGAGCTATTTTTCCCAGATTCAGTGTTTACCCCAGCCTTGGCCTAACCAGTGTGAATGGTTCGGCCTACCGGGTCGCTGCAAGGATGCGCAACAATACGCATTGCATTTGGGCCAAAGATCACCAGGCAGGCGAGAAAGAACATTTGTCTGATTCTTCCGACATTTTTCCCTCTGATTCTTCTGACATTTTTCACTTTAGAAGGATTCACTATGTCCGCTATGTTCGGGAATACGAAGTCTAGTGGCGCAATTTCTCAAATTAAGGCGGCTCAGCCTTCGGCCCTTCTTTTCAAAGACACTGATAGCTCAACGAGCTAAAGGCTCCCACAGGCCGGCTTTTCTTGGGTTTTTCTTATCAGCTCCTCCAGCCTCTCCCACTTCGTGGCCTTCAAATATCGACGAACATACAATAGGAAGAGTCGAATTGTACACGTTCAACGAGCAGGTCACGTCACTTTACTCCTTGATATGCGGAAAGTGATTCACCGCCTGGCAGCTTTAGGTTTTCGTGGCAAATCGGGGAGACCTCCCTAACTCAGAGGAATCATACCCTATATCCTTGATTGTTCTCAAATTCTTTCAGAATCTTTTGCCAAACCTGATGCGAATTGAAACTTTTCAAAGCTGGAACAACCAGATTTTTTTGCCGCACTCGGTATAGATCAAACCTGCCCGCGACCTCCACTTGCCATTGAGCCCATTAACCATCAGGAAAACTGGTGTGTCAACTGACGTTCAATAGGCCTGGACTCCAACAAGGCCATCAGTATGCTACGTTCAGAGTCTTCCGACCCAGCTGACGCTTGCGTTTTTCACAACCAAACTTTACCAAAGTACCAGTAAACTTCCTGAACCTATTTCTCATCCCTGCCCGAGAGCCACAAGTGGCACCAGATCCAAAAATTGAAGTCCCTCTTACACCCTCGCATACAATTAGCAAAAGGTGTTTCCAACTTTCCCACGCATTCACACATGCTTTCTGCACATCGAGAAAATTACTTTCTGTACGCATCATGACGTTGGGATTGGCAAAGGGTTATCACATTTTGCTTTACAAGCATGGCGCAATAAAGGGAGTG